CTTACACAGTAAAGCACACAACTTCATTACTGTTCATGGAAATATTAGTATATTTCACACACGACTTTTTATGTGCATAATTCTAGCAAAAGTCATTAATGCAAAGACACCGGCTAAGTTAAGGTCTTTGGCACTATGAGTGACAGATTCATTTCAAAGAAGGATTTGAGTCATATAACCTTTGAATCTTAATATTTCGTCAATACTTGAATAAATAAATGATGTCGAAGACTGCATAAATAAATTACATTTATGTATTACATCAAAAGGTTATGTGTAGGCATTGTAAGCCTTGCCATGGAATTTGCAGATCTAGAGGAGACACTATTTAATTCCTTTTGTCTCCCATTCTTGCATTGAATCACCATTTTCTGATGAAATTTGCTTCTGTCTGATTTGTTTAACTTTGTATTTTAAAGTTCTACAATTTTTCTGCTCAATTCAACTGTTCAGTTCCTCTTTAGGTATGTTCTTTCTTGTGGAAAAGATTCTACTGTAAAACTCTGGGAAGTCGGCTCAGGTAGATTGGTCAAGCAATATCTTGGAGCTGCACATACGCTGTTGCGGTGCCAGGTATGCCATATCTTGATATAGCATTTTCTCGAGGCATTTTCAGTTGGCATTAGGTTTCCTGGTTTTAGTAGTAACCTCATTAATGTGTCATTACTCAAAATTTGCAGACATATGGTACCTAGTGGATACAAGGTCTCACAATTTGCATTTGCATTGTTTGAATTTCCTCGACTAAATGTAAACTAAGTATTCTTAGCAAGGCATCATAAAGAGGACGTACTAGTGTTACTTCCTACATTTTTGTTTATGGGTTGACTTCCTCAACACTAGATGGCTTCTAGGAAGAAGATTACTTGAGATAAGTATCACTGTTTTCTGAATTATTTTCTATACGACAATTTAACATAAAATTGGGAAAATTGCAGCAATAAACCGGAATCTATGGGCCTTGCTGCAATGTGGTCCTCGACCTCTCTCTTTTTTTTTTTACGAAGTCATCCTGACCTTTATAGTTTTGGAGTGTTGACTTCCCTATTGGATAGTTTCTGTCTATTTAGACGTCTACAACACACGTGCAATGCATGTGAGGTTTGAGCAATGTTTCGAAGGGTATAATAGCTAAGCACAAATAATTGTAATGAATAATAGATTTTAGAAATAGAAAGATCAGAAAAGGGGAAAAACCTCATCTCCTTCATACCTCAGCCCCAATTCTTGCCCCCCACTGCTCGAGCCTCCCGTTTCCCCCTTGCTGTTCGAACCCCAAGCCTCCCAAGCCACCTCTTTGTTTTCTTCCTTTTTATATTTTCTTTTTTTATTTCACTAAAAATAAGGAACTAATGGTTTTCTGAACTAAAATTTGACAATTTAACAAAGGAGTTGATGGTTTCCATCTATTAGAACCAATAGTGCTACAAAATTGAAAGGTTGAGGATTTTTGAGGACCAATGTTGCAATTTTTCCTTTAAAAAAATTGCTATACCTGTATCCATGGTTGCATAGAGAGCAATCTTTGGTAAAGTTGAAGGATATTATTTGTAAACCACCTTTTTGAATTGCATCATCAGACCAAACATGAAATATTGTGCTAAGATAACTGGTTTTAAGGTAGTTCTTGGAACGTGGAACCTGGTTCAGCCTTTAAAATGTAAGTGTCAAATGATATCACCACACGGGTATTTTGTCCAAATTACTGATAAATGGCTGAACTGTATAGTGTCGCGTGAAGAATTTTGCTCTGTAATTTCTGATAAGTAAGTTTGATCTGATCGACACTCAATGTTTGAATTGCAGGCTGTTTTTAATGCCACGGAAGAATTCGTGCTATCGATTGATGAACCAAGCAATGAGGTAGTCTACCTTTCCAAGTTGCTACTTCTGGAAACTGTAAACAAAGAGTAGAATACTAAAACAGCAGTACGACTTTTATAAATTGTGTATAGAATATACAAAGAGACACCGTTTTATAGTGTCACAATTAGATTGTAAATTAAATATGCAATCAAACTATTAGGAAAACGATCAAACAAAATCTGGAAAATACCACATAATTTCAGAGAACATGAAAATATTTCTGTACCTTTAATAGCTACTTCAGTTTAGTCAGATCTGATGTTAGTGCTTATGCTTTGTTGAGACTGCAGATTGTTATTTGGGATGCTCTTACGACAGAGAAAGTGACTAGATGGCCTTCAAACCACGTTGGTTCACCTCGTTGGCTCGAGCATTCACCCGTAGAGGCAGTATTTGTTACGTGTGGAACGGACCGGTCAGTAAGGTTCTGGAAGGAGACAAATTAGACTCATTATGAAGGCATCGATAACATGTTCAGCATGTTGGATTGGACTGCCCATATTGGGAAGTATTATGGAAGAAACATAATTTAAAATCTCATGTGTTGTTCTATGCACTACAGGTGGTAACTCTCAGACAACCATTGAAAGCCCACAAAATTATTCAAATTTTACTGGTTTTTCATCCCTGCCATTCGATGAACCAAATTTACAGAATTTTTTACCACAGAAGATTGCTGTCTTCTAGAGTAAATCTGTGTGCATGTCATCGAATTTGATGAATTCAAATTAGTTCATTTGTTCAGCATTTTGTTGGTAGATACTGGTCTAGTTTGACAAGACGAGTGCAAAAACGTAAAAGTGGCTACATTCTCACAATGACATGTTTTGTGGTTAAGATTAGATAGCGTTGGAAAATACTACTAGACAAACCAAGGACAATTAGGGTTGGGTTTTCCAACTTTTCAACTAGCGTGAAATTGCTCCCTAACTTTCAAATATGTGGTTTTGACTCCTCTAAATTATTCAAACATTTAAGATTGGATCCCATTAGTTTGACCCTTTAAGAGTTAAAAATTATATTAAAAATGATTATTAATGCCTTATTGAGAACTAAATATTATTAGAAGTAAAAAAGAAAATAAAAATCTGTCAAACAAAAAATGGTTTTAAGGTGTTACATGTTGGGTTGGGTGAATTGGGGAAGATGAATAGTTTTTGGTCAAGTGATAGATTTTTAGACGGAAATCATCTTTTTCTCGTATATTTATTAAATGTTTGAGATCTTTGTTGCACATTTTTGAAAGGTTTTAGATCTCCAATACATATTTTCCTTTTTAAATAAATTGAAGGTTTAAAATAGACCATGTTGTCCTTTTTAAAATTGGTCAAACGTTGACTTTTGATCAACTAATGAATTTTTGGATGAAAGTCGTCCAAGAATCCTTCCGATTCTAGTGCATATGTTGAAAGTTTGGGACATCTACTATTACGATTTAAAGATTCTAATGTAATCTACACATTTTTAACAGGTATGAAACTTCCGCTACAATTATCTATAAACAAAAAAAAAATGAAAATGAAAAAAATACTTCAATAGTCATATATGTTGAATTGGCGCATGTACAACGGGAATCTAAAATTAAATAGTTTGAAATACTAAAACTTTCTCAACATGGTGTGTATCAGAGATTGCAATCATGTTATAAGTACAGATTTTTTTGACAGATAACAATTGAAAAATGGGGGAAAAAATAGGCCAATCAGGATCGGTCACGTCAACGTCGGTATCAATTCTATTAAAATTTTCCTTTACTTAAAGCTTTATTGTTAGGGATTGATATAAGAAAATCAAACTTCAGCATTTGCATGCAGTAGACAGATTTTCTGTAGTTGAAAATTGTGATATCTAATTGACTCATGACACTGCGATGTTGTATCTATCTCAAGACTTTATTGAAGTGTGTGTTTCGATTATTGTTCTTTCTTTTTTTAGTCTTCATAGTACTATAGCTAGTTGGGAATTTGGCAAATCAACCAAATAAGCAGGGAAATGCCTCTAGCATCCCTTGGAAGAGTTGAAGGTGTTCTACTTAGTGTAAAATGTAGAGTCCTAAAAAGCTAGTCTAGATTAGAAACTTCAGCAAAACGCCTCGCATCTTTTTTTTTTTTTAATTTCTAAATGGTTGAATTTTGTCCTTCCTCTCTTTCGTCTTCCTTAGACGTGCTTTATTAGTTTTTTTTTTTTTTCCTTTTTTGAAAAGTCTTTTATTTGACTTGACTTTAACTTATTAATTTTTTTTATTTTTTTCAAAAAACTTTTCATTTAACTTTAATTTCAAGTTTTTAAAAGATTTAATCTGTACAAAAAGCTAAAAATGACTTTATCTAAATAGTTAAATAAAATTTAAGCTATGGTGCTATTTATATCATGTAATTATGATTTTGAGATTCGTTATTTTGTTGCAAACTCCAAAAGTATGTATGAAATTTCTATAAATCTATTAAGTAGAATTTCTCTAGTTGAAAATTGAAATTATGAAAAACATTCTAATTTTCGCATTTCAAAAACTTAAAAACTGTATAATTATGAAATACATTCTAATTTTGATATGTATTATTTTAAATATTAAATGATTAAAATTTTAAAATAATCTTAAAAATAAGAAAACGTTTTTTACGCATAAATCTCGCCTAGGCTTGCTTAAACTCGCAAAACTTGAAACTTCACCTTCACACCTAACTACGTTTTATGCCTTTTAGAACACTGATAAAATGTAAAAGTGAAGCACATTGAGCAAAAAATTACATTGTTCCAAACTCAATGACAATTAAGGTCCTATCCATCCAACCACTATTTCATATCCGTTATTCACTAAGCCTTCTCTTTCAGCTCGACAAGAATAGCAACAGAAGGAAAGGCTCTATGCAGCTGGTGAATCTTGATTGACTGAGACCAAGAACCGCGGAATAATAGAAAGTGAAGCTTTCCGATCCTGCTAAGTGGTAAAAGTGAAGTCCTAATATTTGTGTTGCTCTCCATCACATGGATAGCTCACTCAATGTTCTTGTCAACATCTGACCGCACAGTTTCACTGCTTCTCATTTATATGAAGCGCTCAGCATCTGCCATTTTTTTGCAAACATATCATGTAGTAGGCCAAGGTACATTACTGCGGCTTTGCCATCCTTGAGCTACTCGAATAGCATCTCATTCTGGGGGCAGCTTTCCTGAGGGCATATTCTCACAAAGAAAAAGCCCTTTAGGTAAGCTGATTCGGAGTACGAGCCTCTCTGCTCGACTGCCTTTAGGCACCCAGGAGCATGTCCTGGTGAGGAAGGGCTGAGGAGGCCCTGACATGGGCAATAAACAAGCAAAAACAGTATAGCTCCAGAAACCAACAGACCACTGTAATAAATGCCTTCATTCAAGCCAATGATTCCATGTAAGATTTGATGTTTCTAGAATCTTCATTCGACTCGGGATACTTTTGTGGTTTAAAAAGCTTCCACATTCCAACTGGATGCCGGTTTCGAACCTCACTGCCTCCTCCAAACCTTCCATATGTCTGTTCACATCCTGGATATGGCTTAACATACCGATTATAGAATCTCAATCTGCTAAGCTTAATTAAATCCCTCAAACCGACCTCATCACCAAGTCCACCAATTGACCTCAAATGCTTAATCACGTTGAAACGAGGAACAATCTGTTTACCAAGATGCACCCCCAAATACTCAGGAACTTCAACTAGGCACTGAACATCAAACTCCATCTCCTGCACCAAAAACTCAATTTTCTTCTCAATCTCCTCTATCTCGTACAAAATCACTCTAGGCTCCTTCCACAACACTGTAAAAGCCTCTCGATATATCAATCCATGTTTTCGTAAGCAATCAACCCTTATTTTCACTTCATAGGCAGCCCTAAATGCTCCATGGCGAAAAATATTCTCCTTAATAGGTAACCTACAACGCAAACTCTTTAGCAATTTCAAACACTGCGAAAACTCCCCATTTTCCAACCCAAGAATTCTTGGGTCTCTAATAACTTCTCTCCTAACCTCACTTAAGCTAAAACCTAAACCTTCAAATTCATCAATCAATAGTTTCAGCCTATTTTCCACTCCAAATGCCAAAACTCCAGGAAACGAACAAACTACCTGATCAATTTCGTTCTTCTGAATTCCAAGCCTAATCAAGAACTCAGTTTTACCGCAAATCTTATCCTCACTCGACATAAGTACCATAGGAACGGCTTCCAAAACCCTGATGACAGTGTTCTCTGTAAACCCCAACCTTTTCAAACACTTTATACACCTAGAAACATCATCAGGTTTTAAATCAAATTTCCTGGAAACTTCAAGAATATTCCTAATTGCCATTAAACTAACATTTGAAATCCCCAATTCTGAACTATCCAGTTGCCATTTTTCCCAGAAATTAAGTTCCAGAACACTGGGACAGCTACATAATACACTAGCAACGAAATCTTGAGAAGAGTTTAGAGATGATAAAATCTTGAGGGATTTTTCGATTTCTGAGGTATTGGAATTCAGCAAATATTGATTCTTTTTTAGGAAATGGGGAATTTCAGAGGGTGGGAAGCCATACCTTTGGAAGAGATTTGAGACAGGAATTAAATTCTTCTGATGGGATTTTGGAGCTGTGGAGAAAGATTGTGAATTTGGGTTTGGAATGAAACGAACGGAAGCAGAAATTGATCTGAAGAGAAGGAGAAATGTGGGTCTTGTATTGATACTCCTGAATAAAATAGCCATTGCAGAGGCTCTGCAAACTGATGAATTGGCCCCAAATTTTTGTAGGAAAAATGAGGGTGGGAAAAATTGCAGCAACTGTGCTCAATTTTTTACAATCTTCTACATATTCATCTCTTGTATTTATTTTATGCACTATAATTCTCAAATTTCTTATTTAGCCCATATTTGGTGAAAATTAAAATTAAAATTTAATCTAAATCAAAATCAACAACTAATTTTAATCATACATTTTATGGATCCACAACTTTCCAACCACACATCTTTTCAATTTTTATCAAAAACTACTAAAATCTGATTTTAATCCTCACAAAACAGGGCTTTAATCCCGTTGCAGCTAAAATTCAGATTTTTAATAAATTTTGATAAAAATTGATTAAATATATCGTTAAAACATTATAAATCATATGAAATATATAATTAAAACTTTGGCTTGAATTTTTTATAAATTTTACATCAAATGGGAGCTTACGGTAAATAAATGCTATTTTGTTATATTTTTAAAAATTTGTACTGGTTTTAACTAGTCAGGAATAATTCTTCTCATATCTCATTTCTTTCTCGTAAATTCGATTTTTATCCTGGGGGCCAGGGGCGGACCTGGGGGGTGGCCTGGGTGGGCACGNCATTTCATAATGGTGAAATTAGGCTCACTACTCTAAAAAAGAAATCAATTAGATCAATGCACTTAACATAAATTTAAACCTCTAATCACCGTAATTTATACGTCCCAAAACCCATCCCATTCAATTACATACACACACAGACACAAAGACCCGGCTTCGCTCACGATTTTTTCAAATTTTTCATCAACATCATCCCATTTTTCTCCAAATTTCGGTGGGCTTTGAAGATTAATTATATTCCAACATCATTCATCCACAAATTCACATTTCCATCCATAAAAATTTCAAGAAATCAAAGGTAAATTGGCTTAACTTTATGGGTTTCGAAATTTTTCTTCTTTGTCTTAAATTCTTGCTCATGGTTGGAATTTTTTGAGTTTTGTTGGGAGTATGGGCGTAGTTGATGTTGGTTTTGTGGATTGGTTGTGGAATATTTGGATTTAGCATAGAATCATGAGAAAATTTTACTCATTTCAATTATTGTGCATATCAAGTGTTTGATTAATTGCTCCAAATGCATTTGTGTTGATTATGCCATGATTTTTGTATGATACATAGAATATACACACGTAAACACTCACATGTCATTGTATCTCTCAATTTGCATGAATTGAATGACAATTTAGGGGGAAGCATATTCAAGCCTACGTTCCTCCATATGTCCCCTGCGTTCCTATTTGAATCCCTACTTGCAGTCCCAGGTTTCTGCTATATTATATATGAGTAACTAATGGTCGTTCAGCCATGCTGAGTTGTTATGAGGAGAAGCAAGGAGGCCAATTGAAGTGGAGAAGAAAGGAAATAGGAAGATCAGAGCAAGACAAGCAGAGGAATAAGGAAATGCAGTCGATGGTTTCCCTGAAATTAAAATCCAGAACAGAAAGAATCTTTTACGCTTTTGTTTTCTATTATAACCTAGAGATGGAATTGGGAGAAGGTTGTGAATGATTATCGTGAAAAAATTCACCACCACCTCAATAGAATGTTTCTAGGGAAAGCAAACAGCTTCTATGGATGAGCAAGATGTTTTAGCTTATATAGAGACGTCATTTTCTGCATTTTTACTGTAAAGTTTTACAGTATGATGGTCCTTACTTTTCCTTAGCTTTGAAGTTATATAGAACTTGTAATCTTGGATAGAAAATCAACTTGTAGAACTACTGATGCTTTGTAGGATTTTTTTGGTTATGAATTATATTTGTGTTATGATACTTCACAACTTGTTTTCCATTTCCGTACAATTAATGTTATGGATCTACGGGGGAGAATATTTGTTTTCCATTTTCCGCCTCTTGTTTTTGATTGCTAACTAGTTACTGCTTTTTCTAAGTTCTATCACTTTTTTTGATTTTCGGTCACTTTTTTATAGTGTTTGTTACTATTTTCTATTACTTTTTTGGTTTTTTTGTCACTTTTTGACTAACAAAATCATTTTTTTATAAAAGTGAGATTGTCACACTATCACTTAATTTTATACATTACCATCTAGGGATGTCAAAATTGCTTGTCAATTTTATAAAAGTGACATTGTGTCACTTTTTTAGGTTTTTGTCACCTTTTAAGTTTTTATCACTTTTTAAGAAGATACAAAAAGTAAAATAATATGTTATATTTTCCTAACATAATCAGCACGTGGATTGGTCTTGACGTGCTGATTATTTTAAGAACACGATTACCGGTGCTGCATAAATAGATGGTGCTATTTTTGTATTTGTCATTTTTTTTGAGTTTATGTCACTTTTTTTTAATTGTCACTTTTTTTGAAAAAGTAAAAGTGAATTGTGTCACTTTTTTATTTTACACAGTATTTTTTTACTTTCTAAAAACCTTTCATATGATTTTTAAAACATCCCTAATTTTAAGAATTTTTTGTAAGTAACCCTTTCATAATCATGCAAGGTTGACTGTACGGCCCAGTCTTGGCCTAACCGAATTTGCGTATTTTGGACTTATTCAAAAAAGTGGAAATTACACCAAACCATACTTTACGTATTCAACATTCTAAAATCAGATTGAAAGTTTGATATTTCAAAAATCAGAAGTTTTTTTATATTAATATATTTACTAAATATATATTATCCAATACACCATTTCACAAACCCTAATTACCCACTCTCCTCCCTCCCTCCC